CGTTCAAGATGATGCCCCACGTGTTGAAGCCCGACCCTGGGATCGGCGGCGCCAGCGAGCCCACGCGCAGCCTGTAGGCCTCCGACGGCCTGAGGTACGCGTGGAAGACCAGCGCCACGAAGACCGCCATGCTGGGCAGGTTCATCCAGATGAGCCAGCCTGCGACTGCCATCGCGGCCGAACGAGGAAGAGGCAGGCGCATCTGCGGCGGCGCCAGGCGGCGCCGCCCATCGAGGGCTCGCGCCGACCGCGGGAGTGGCCGCTTCCCGACGAGGATGTGCGGCAGGAAGTGGCGCAGCGCCGCGACCGTCATCCTCCCCGTCGCTGTGTCGAAACCGTCCAGGGCCAAGTCCGTCAGGAAACGCACGATGATGCTGTCCAGCTGGCTGGCGGTGGTGAAGTTCAGGTCGTGCCAGCCCAACCATTCCAGGAATCGCAGGGCGTGGCAGCGGTGCCGGGCCCGAGTAGGGTCGGACACCGCTGAGTTCTCGAGGAAGCTGAGGGCCCCCTCGAACAACTCCTCGGCCCGAGGGTGAACCGCCGCCTGAGCCGCCACGATCGGAGCAGAAGTCTGCTTCAGGGAGGGGGCGATCTGCCGAGGAGATGCGCGCCTCCTCGAAGCTTTTGCCGTGGAAGAAGCCATGGCGGGATGGCCCGTCCGCGACGTTCAGCACAGTAGGTATCCACCACACATAGCACCGAAGGTTGGTGGCCAGCGCGAGCGCGGCGATCCTCCGCAAGGGTCGCCGAAGGGTAGGCTTGCGGCCTCGACCCTTGCCAGCCGCCAGAGCCAAAAGTAAATTATCTACGAGAAACAAAAGGCGATGGTGATGAAGCGAAGCGTTGCGGGTGGCGTGCCGAACTGCGTCGCGCAGCGCGTCACCCTCGTGCTCTAAAATGTTCTTGGACGGGTTTCAATGCCTCCTGGAGATCACGGTGACCCACGACAAGACCTGCATGAGCTCCTCGGGGATCTCGTCGAAGCCCTTGCTGAATCCCTCGGGGTTCGAGTCCAAGAAACCCTCGATGATGTCGAAGTCGTCGGGGGCCCCTCCGAGACCCAGCGCGTTCGAACGTGCCGAAACCACCGAAGTACAACGATATCTCCACCTCTCCGCCTGCCTCCCAAGCTCGGCCACCCGAGGCCCGACCTCCTTGCGAGTACACACGCCCGCACCGATAGGAGAAGCGTCCGAAGCCGAGACGTGGGGGCCCCAGGGGATGTTCATGTGCGAAGTCCATAATGGTAAAGTACTAGCCACACACCAAAGCACGAACTTGACGGAGGCCCACAGGGGCCTGACTCCAGGGTCCTTCTGGGGCTTAAAGGCGTAGACAGACGACAGGATGCAGAGGGTCTCTCTTTTACAAATCATCGCCCACGTGATGTGGCTCAGAAGGACTTCGAGCATGCGAGGCGAGGCGGCGCCTCGCCGCAACACCGCCGGCAGCGCCAGCCGAAGGCGCAGGACGCTAGCAGGCTTCACCCTCACGGCCCCAAGGTTGCCGTTGATCTCGAGGCCCGTGAAGACGGATACGGCCGAGGCGGTATCGAGCGAGTGCACAGGTAGCCCCCGAGCTTCCAGCGTGCGAGTCACCTCATCCCTCTTGGAGGTGACGGCGATGGGGTCGCCCCCCACGATGGCGAAGTTGTCGACGTAGCCCGCGGCCGCCACGCTGTCCTTAGCAGAGAGGACGGGGCTCGGGCGGGCGTCCTCGATGAGGTCACCGTCGCCGAAACCGCAGTGGACGAGGGCCCTCCTCATGATGCTCTGGCAGAACAGCAGCGACCAGCTCCAGCCCATCGGCAGGGCGCGCGCCACGGGCTGGAGGAAGCAATCGGAAGGGATGGGGAGGCCGTCGAGCTGCTTGACATTGAAGAAGCGATTGGAGATGGTGGGCAGCGTGAACAGCTCCTCCATGCCCTTCGGCACGAGCATGTGGTAGAAGGCGCGCTGGATGTCGCCCTGGGCCAGCGCCGCGGGGTGGTCCGACTCCAGGGCAGCCCGCGCCGCCGCCGTGGGGGGCGTGGTCTTGGGCGGCGCCGCGAAGCCCTCGTTCGCCACCCTCGTGTCGAAGACGAGGCGAAGCGTGCCTTTGCCAACCTTCTCGACAAAGGAAAAACCCAAGCTATAGGGATCACCAGCCCGCGCCACACGGAAGGATACCATACCACCCTGCAGCAACTTCCCCACGAAGCCGGCGTAGGCCCTGGGGTTGTTGCCCAAAGTCGGGTCGACGTAAGGGCGCTGCGGCACCGAAGCCGCTCTCGGATCTAAAGCGGACGACTCACCCTTGGGCGTGGCCCGCCTCCGTCCCGACAAACATTCGCGCTCGGCCTCCCCGGCGGGATCGGCGACATCAGCTGGGGCCGTCGAGAGATCAGGCCAGGACACCAGCTCCTTGTTGTAGGGCTTGACGCGCTGGGAGCCAGAGGAGTGCCCAGGCGCCGACGCGAGCAGCTCTGTCAAGGCTGCTTCGCCAGAATGAGCATCCTCATGATAATCAGGAGGTGTCGGAAAATGTTGACAGGCCTGAGAGATGTGATCCATCGCGCTCGCCTGCGCCGCCGATGCCGTTAACCCAGGCGGGGCAGACGCAGGGGAGAAGTGGCCGCTCAGCAGGTTCAGGGCCGCGATGCCGTCGTTAGCCCATCTCCGCCAAGCAGCGCCGCGCTGGGCGCGCTGGCGCCCCCGACGGCTGCGGCAAGCTTCCACGCGAGCGTCCACCGCCAGAGCAGGTAATGGGGAACGCATCACGCTGACGAGCTCCAGGGTCCATCGCGACAACACTGGTGGAGGCGCAGCCCTCACGAAAAAGCAGGACTCGCCCAGGCGGCGCCGAAGCGCATGCACCCGCCTGGGAGAAGCTCTCGAAGGGCTATGCGCGCGCCGCCCGCTCCTCGCGGGCTTTGCGCCTCTCCTTGGCAATGGCGGCCTCCGCCTTTAACTGGTCAACGATGAAGTCCGTGAGGGCTGGCGCGATGCACAAGTTGCCCTTGCTCGCCGACGCCCCCGTGTAGTGGTCCGCCTCCGCCGCCAGCAAGCTCACGCTGGCAGCTTTGGCGCTCTTGTCCTTCCCCGCCTTCGTGTCCTCCGCGGCCACCTGCGCGGTGACGGTGTCCTCGTAGTGCCGCTCCTCGATGAGCTGGATCTGGCGGCAGATCAGCTCGTGCGACGCCAACTCCGCTCAGTTAACCTGGTCGTAGCAACTGCCTAGCTCGAACAGCCTGCAGTTCATCTCGTGCTGCTGGCAGATCGAGTCCGCGTCGCGCAGTATCGCCTCCGTCTTCCACTTGGAGTGCCACGCCAGCGGACCGCCCGCGTTGCGCCTCATGTGGTCGAGGCACCACTGTATCGTCCGCGGACCTTTGATCGGCCAGTCCGCCTGGGGCGTGGAGGAGGCCAGCAAGGCCGCCGTGGCGAAGTCCAGCGCCCGCCGCCCAGCCGCGTCGCGCACTAGCGGGTGCACGCGGCAGTCTGCCACAGCCGCCCCACCAGCGCCTGCGGCAGCCGCCGCAGCCGCGGGATCCCCCGCTGCCGCGGCGGGCGCGGCCGCAGGGGCTGCGGCAGGCGGCGCGGGCACCCCCGGGGCGGCCGCCAAGGCCCCTGCCCCGCCTAAGCCAGCGGCGCCGCCGCCGACGGGAGGCGCGGCAGGGGGGGCCGCCACCGCGGCCGCCGCGCCAGCGGGGTCGTCCAGTTGCACGCGCTGCGGGGCCCAAGCGGCCCCGCCGCCCACGCCTGCAGCCAAAACGAACGGCGAGGCGGGCGCGGGCACGCCACGCAGCATCGCGGCCGCCCGCAGGTGCGCCCACATGGTGACCGCGTCGGGCGCCGCTGCGAACCGATACGTGTTGGCTCGGCGACGCCGAACAGCGGAGCCCCGAGGCCTCGAAGAGGCCGCATCTCGAGCACGTCCGCATCCACGACCGCCGACTCCTCGTAAACGTCTCCGTCCACCGTGAGGACCACAGCCGCGTCGGGCGGCACGTCCAGCAACGTGATCCGCTCATGCTATACTGCGGGTCCTCCCACACGATATCGAACGGCGTGCACATCACCTGGCCGTGGCATTCTGAATGGCGGCCCTCGCCTGCTGCGAAGCCAAAAGGCGAAGCTGCTCGACCGACGGCGCCACGCCCTCCGCGCCCGCGCTGACCGCCTCCGATGGGACTGAGGCTCTCACGCTCGCAGCCTGCGACCTCCAGCTCCAGATCGCGGGCACCACGAAGACGCCCACCAGCAGGCCGAAGAAGAAGAAGAACACGGTGTGGCTGCACCAGGCCGTCAAGACCTGCAACGCGTGGGGCCCGTCGATGTTCGGGCAGGATACGCTGTATGTCGGGGAGCACTCGCACGTACAGGCAGGGCACGCGGGAGACGATGAGGGCGTGGCCGACCACACCACCAGGGCCTGCGAGGCGCCGCGCGCGAGATCCGAAAGGAAACGCGCGGCAGCGGCTTGCATGCCCCTCAAAAGCTTGAGCACACATATTCACAGATGTGCGGCCACTGAACCCCTGCCCCAGCACACTCCACACTAAAGTTGTTACCAGGATGAGGGAGGTGATGAAGATGATTGTGATGCTCCTGCTGATGATGATGATGAGGATGATGACGATGCTGCTGCTGCTGCTGCTGATGATGATGATGAGGACGATGACGATTATCATGACGATGATGATGACGATGATGATGATAATGATGATGATGACGATGATGATGATTATGATGATGCTGCTGCTGATGATGCTGATGATGGTGATGGTGATGTTGTTGGTGATGGTGATGGTGATGATGATGGTGGTGGTGGTGGTGGTGATGATGATGCTGATGATGATGATGATGATGATGATGATGATGATGATGATGGTGGTGATGAGGGACCACAGAAAGGGCACTCGTTCCATCTGAGGAGGAGGAGGAGGAGGAGGAGGAGGAGGAGGAGGAGGAGGAGGAGGAGGAGAAGGAGGCGCGACCCAGTCAAGTGGCGGGAGAATGGGCAGCAGGAAGAGGGGGACGAGGAGGCGCATTTCGGCCGCAGAGGCTCGACTCCGGGGCAGCGCCAGCGCGCCAGCGCGCCAGCGCGCAGGGGCGCGCTCTGGGCGAGCGCGACCGTTCCAGGAGCAGAGCGGGCGCACCGCAGCCGCACCGCGCGCCCCGCCAGACCGCTGGAAAGCACGCGTGTGCAGCACGCGGAGGCCGCGCGCTAGATGCACATGCGGAGGGCCAGCGTGCCGCGCCGCGCGGGTCTCGGAGCTGGGCGGGTCGAGGCAACGTCGGCTCCGCGTCGGCCCCTGGACTAGAGGCCTCCTAGGTGGGGTCCGAGCAGATGGGGTCGGAGGATCGCGCCGCATCGCCGATGCATCGGGTGACGTCGGCATGGAGAACCTCCGGCTTCACGTGAGGCTTCATCGCCGATGCAACGGCGATGCGGCACGATCCACCGACCCCGTCTACTCGGACCCCATCAGGGAGGCCTAGATGGACCGGACCCCATCTGGGAGGCCTAGATGGACCCCATCCCAGGGTGCCAAGCGCACCAGTCTTCCGAGCTGCGTCCAGCCGCGGCGACGACAGGCCTCTTTAGAGGCCACCTGCCATTGTCTCGGCTTGCCCTCCTCTGATCGTCGACCGCCGTCGCCCTACGCGGGTGGCCGCTCCGACGCCTCGACGGCCTCCCTCAGAGCCCTCGAGACCGCCAGCGAGGTCTGCCACACGTGGTCGCCATAGGCGCGCACGGCGCCCCCGCCCTGCAGCAGCGCCGCGCGCAGCGCGCCCTTCGGGGAGAGGGGAAGGTGCACACTACCACCGGGCCTCCAGAGGCCCATTGTGGGTCCAGGCCCCTGGTGTGGCATTGGCTCCCGGCCATGCCCCTGGTGGTGGTGTGCACGGTCGGGAACTTCTGCTTAGCGGGTCGCAGCGGCGGCCCCGTCGACACGCTAAGCCCTGCGAGCGAATAGCGTGTCGCTCCGCTCCGCGGGGCGGGCGGTTGGGAAGAGCCCGGGATGTGGACGCTTGGAAGCGGGGACGTGGATAGCGTGTCGCGCCGAAGCAGGGTGGGGCCAGAGCCAGCAGAGCGACACGCTGAGCAACAGTTCCTCACCGTGCCCTCACTCTCCAGAGTCCTGGCTAAACTTGAGGCTCAGCTCGCAGAAGTCGCGGCGCAGCTGCAGCTTTCTCCCGACGAAGTCGGAGCCCGTGAGCACCTCCGCGGTGGCCTCCGGGCGCCCGTCCTGCGGCGGGAGCCGGAGCGCCTCGGCCCGGTCGAGGCGCCGCGCGAAGGCCACGCGGTCCTGCAGCCTGTGTGGCAGCCTGGGAGAGGGCGCCGGCAGGCCGTTCCGTACCTCTCGGGGCAGCTCCAACCTCCGTGACAGCTAGCTTTAGGTCGGGCATGTCCTCCTACAGGCGGATTTTTGAAGAAGCATCGAAGATAGTGCAGCAATCTTCTAAAATACTGACAACTAGTCGAAACATCGTCCCCAGACTATCTTTCAACTATTTTAGAATATTCCTCCTGTAGTGGGACATGCCCGACTTAAAAAGCTGTGCTCGGCCTCGTCCCCCCGCCTTCCTGTGCCTTCCGCTGCCCCCGCTCCGCTCCATCCCCCATTGGGGGGCCACGGGGCGGGGCGAGCTCCCCCGTCGCCGCCGTTTGGGCTGCCCTCGGCCTCGATGGGGGCCCCGCCGCCAGGGAGCACCTGCTGGCGGCGCGCACAACGGGGTAGGGGGGAGGGGGAAGGCTTCTTAGAAGCAGGCTGCTTCTTGGAAGGCGCCGGCCCTACATCTGTAGACAAGGTCCGCGCCTTCTAAGAAGCAGGGGTGCTTCTAAGAAGCCTTCCCCCCTCCCCCTGCCCCCTTCTGCGCACGGCTGAACCTGAGCGACGAAAAGAGCCGGGCCTTTCGCAAGATGACGTAGCGACCTTGCGCTGTGCCTTCCGCGGGCCGCCAGCGCGACACGCCACACTGGAAACGAGGGCGCCTGCGCGCGACCCCACTCGGCCGGCTTACGCGAGAATGTCCTGGCGGTCGAGCCCTGTTTTTGCGTCGCTCACCTGCTCGCGGAACGGGCTGTCCAGGGGGACTGGGTCGGAGGTCTCCACCTTCAGGCGCACGTCGTGCCCGCGCAGGAGCCGCTGGCGCTCCGCGCCCGCGGGCCCGCCCACCAGCGTGGCGTGCGCCCAGCAGAGCGGCCGCTCGTCGAGCCCGGTGACGCCGAGGGAGGCGTCCAGGTGCACCTGGAGCTCGAAGGCCTGCGACGCGAAGAAGCTCGCCTTCCAGGTGCCCTGCCGCGAATGCGGGGCGGCCGCCTCGCGGAAGCCTGCGCCGCGGAGCGCGGCCTCGGTCACACGCAGGCGCGGCCCCGAGCGGGAGTGGCCTCGGGCGCACGGCCTCTGGGGGCTGCGGGGGGATCAGAGCCAAGCGCGCAGGCCAGGGCTGGGGGGACGCCTGTGGCAGAGAGCAGCAGAACCACCCCTAGAGTAAACGCCCCGACAAGCAAAGGCGCTTAGTAAACGCACCCCAGGAAGGAATCGAACGGGGGAAACGCCCAGGGCGGTTTGGTAAACTCCACTCATCGGGGTCGGGGTGGTGGTTTTTCCTCCGTAGGTGTGGCCCCGCACCCAAGGTCACTCCAGAGAAGGGTCACTCCTGTGGTAATCAAGGCTTCGGGCTGCGCGCAGACAGCCCCTCCAGGCAGTCCCAGCTGGCCTCCACAGGCCCCCCGAGTAATCACAGCTGGCCTCAACAGGCCCACCGAGCAGCCTGGGGCGGTCTCAACACCTCAACTCTGGGGCGCGGAGCGCCACAGGGAGGCCGCCCGATGCGGCGTCAAAGTACTGAGACCGCCCCAGGCTACTCGGGGAGCCTGTTGAGGCTGGCTGGGACAGCTAGGGGGGCCCGTGGAGGCCAGCCGGGACTACCTGGGGAGCTGTTTGTGCGCAGCGCGAAGCCTGAACGCCTTCTTCCCTGCAGCCGAGGCCTTGTACGCCCCTGCGCAGCGCAGCCGCAACTCTTCCTCGCACCGGTTGCTGGGCAACAGGCCGGGGCAGAACGAGGTGCCGAGGCCGGGCTGCCTGGAGCGCTTGTGCTTGCGCCTGCCTCTGGCGGCGTTGTTGCCGACCAGGCCCTTGGACGGCTGGATGGGTGTCTTGTCGAACGCGTTGCCGCTGGCGTCTGGCCCGCCGCGCGCGGGCAGCCCCGCGTTTGGAAATTCCCGCCAGCAGGACTTTCGATTGCGCCGGTGCTTCACCATCGCCTCCTCCAGCTCTGCCGCCGACATGGTGAGGGACGTCTCGGGGAGCTTGTCTGTGACGTCTGTGGCGTAGAAGACGCCGAACCGCGCGCTGACGCTGAGGGACTCCATGTGAGAGCTGCTGTGCACTGGCAGCTTCCCCACCTATGCGCTTGCTTGTCTTTTGAAGCGGCGTCTGTTTCTGGCTTTTGCTTCCAAGGGTTTCAGAAAAAAGGCTGGAAAACAAAGCGCGAGAGATCGAAATCAGCTCGAGAGGCACGACCCCGAAGGCGAGCACGAGGTGGTCTTCGCATGGTGTCTTTGCGAGGTCTTCGCGACACAGCGCGGACCATGGCACCGAGCAGATTTGTCTGTCATCCCGCAGACCCCCTCGGAAAATACTGAATGGGAACCCCTCGCTTCGCAACCAGGAGGAAAGCCACAATGCGATGCCAAAGTGGAACGGGCCGAAAAGCATTCGGGGAGGATGAATCGGGGCTTCGGGGTGAAGAGTCCGAGAACCAGGTGGGTCTTACGAGCGGAAATGGGGAGCAAACGCACCAGAGGCTTGAACAAACCGGGAAACCAACACGTAGACAAGACAGGATATTGGTACGACGAGACAAATCAGAAAATACCCGCCATCTCCCCCTGTGGGAGCCATCAAGTTGCGCTGGTGACGTGGAGGTTTCAGCAGCTGAAGACCGTAGTTCTCAGCAGCGCAATGGGATAACTGGCAACGTTGCATTCCCTCCAGAAGCCCAGCAACAAATTCTCAAAACACAGTTTCACATTTTTTCGGAGATGAGGTCCTCAATTTCTGAAGCCGCGCGCGACCCCCCGCGTTCCGAAAACATACCGTCGCCATGCCCAAATGAGATTCTCAGCATTTCAGGGTGTTCTCGGGCAGTTCAAACAACATTGCACAAGAGAGAACATCCAATCAGCTTGCTAACATTTTCGCAAATCCTCCCCGCCTCCCCTCCGCGGCATGCTGCTTGACTCTCTGTTCTCTATCCTACTTTCTACACGCACGCACTCTCTCACTCTCTGCTTCTCTCTCTTCCTTTTTTTGTTCTCTCTCTCTCTCTCTCTTTCTCGCCCTCCTTCGATGTGTTTATACATATGCGTTCGCCCGTCTTTTTTTGTTCTCTGTCTCTCTCTTTCTTGCTCCTCGCACTCTGCTTGCTGACATACAGCTTGTATTATCATATACTGTCTGATCGATGCTTCCCACTACACCTCTCTCTTTATCTTTGTTTTTTTTGCGCTATCTGTATATGTACATCAATATACATACGAATATTGATTGCAGCTGAAGCGGCGATGTCGAAAAAACACTGCGCGAAATCGACGAGTGCGTGACCGACGAAGTGCCGAGGGTCCGTGTCGTAGTTGCGGAGGTGAATGATGGCTCCAATACTTGACCTCGTGTTAGCTCCACTCCTGGCGACTTTGAGCCCGAACGTGACGACGGGACTTGCTTTCTAACGCCGCTGCCCGCGAGGGCAACGGCACAACCGGCAAGTGGCGACGTCGAGCCCGAACGCGACAACGGGACTTGCGATCTAACGCCGTCGCAACCCGCAAGGGCAACGGCCGATCCGACACGCAGCGCCGGTGAACGCGAACGCGACAACGGGGCTTGCGTTCTAACGCCGCAACCCGCAAGGGCAACGGCAGCGCCGGCATGTGGCGACGCCGAGCCCGAACGTGACAACGGGACTTGCGATCTAACGCCACCGCTACCCGCGAGGGAGACGGTATGTTCAGCAAGACAGGAAGTCGTTTCAATGGGCGGGACAGGTCTGGATGGACTGGAGAGTACCTGTGCACCAGCCAGGAGTACATCAGGAGCGATCTGAGACCAATCACCATCATGTAAATCAGAGAGAGGCCCAACGCGTTCAGGCGTCGCAGCAGCCGTCGAGGGAGTCCGCGGACAGGCGCCGAGTGGCGTCGATGGGCGCAGGTCCACCATCGCAAAATCATCCTCGTCCTCAAGCCCAGGAACCAAGATCCGTGTCAAACCAGGGCTCGGGAAGTCATATACACGTAGATCATCCACGATACCCTCATCCACTTCATGCACAGGAAAAGCCGGCGGCGGCGGCAGACCAGGGCTCAAAGAGACCGATACCACACTATCAGAGGCCTCATCGCTGATAAACGCAACCTCATCGCCATCATTGAGGACGTCGGGCATCATGCCCACTGAAAACGAAGAAGAAGAAGAGGACGAGGAGGAAGGAGGAGGTAGGTAAAACCGATCTGCGACTGCGACGGGGTGCCTGGAAGATATGACCCACATCGTGTGCCAATGCTGTCGGAGAAGCCATCTTCATCGCGCGGGCCCCAATCATGGCAGCGCTGTAAGCTTCACTCTCGGAAATCGGCCAATGAGGGATACGGCGTGCAGCGTTGTAGGCTCCATGCGCAGCCGCCAGGAAGCCGAATGCCCTCGGCGATGGCGATGACGGCCCCCGCCGCTCCGCGAGGTCCGGTGGCAGCGAGTGACCCATGGCAGAGCGGAGGGCCCTGTGGAAGCGCACGCGCCTGGAGTAGCGCAATAGAGAGTCAGCGGCACCCACGCATCCGAAGGCACAGGCTCGTTTGCCAGCTGGGTGCAGTATGCGGTGCGAAGTAAGCCAACAATCGCGCCGAGTTCAAATGGCCAACCAGGCCCACGAGCAGGAGCACTTCTGCATCTGGAAAGAGATCGCAGCCCAATCAATCACATCAACCACATCATCGTGGCGAGAGGAAAAGAACTTCTGTAGACGCCCGCGAAGAAACTCACGCAGAGGGCCAACTTTCACAGCCATCTCTCGCAGCGCACGATGAATCGCACGCTGCGGCCGCAAGCGAGTCCCAGGAGGGATCTCCAACGCAGACTCGAGCGCCTGACGTGCACAGATCATCATATCCTCCCACGGCCCAGCAGGCGCACTCCCAGAGAAGGCACGCTCCGAGTTCTCAGCAGTGGCGGGGCTCTTCCAGAAAGAGGGGTCGTATCGGCCTTTTGGGAGCATGTCAAATGTCCAAGAGTCGGCACATGACGCCGCGTGAGCACGCAGGCCTTGGATGGGACGACGGTGCTCTGGGAGGGTGCGTGACGCCGCCCGCATAAGCGAGGCGATGTTGAGATGAGCCAATCTTGTGACTTTGGGGCCCTGCCGGAGATGAAGCTGCACCCAACAATTTAATGTGAGCGTGCCCAGGGCCGCGCGATAGACCTGCGCGGGCACTCCCAGTTCAACGGCTAAGAACTCTCTCGGCATCCAGGAGACTTGGCACATGTAAGAGAGTGTGGTGACGATTCGTGAATTTTGAAAGAACGGACGACGCTTTGGAACGGGTAGCTCCACGTCCAACGGCGTGAGCCCGAAGGCGAACTTTCTCCAGCGGAGCCCTCCAGGGTCTCAACGGGCCAACGGCGGGGCCCAACCATACACCGAGGTACAAGAACCCAGCAGCAATCTGCATGGACGCCAATTGGGGAGCCACCCGGGGCAGGACCTCCGAGGTACGCAGAGCGAGGCTAGGGCAGAAGGGCCAGAGAGAGGCGCCGCCTGGCGCTACGGGATCTCAAGCACCAAATTGGCGCGCAACTCCGCAACGCTCATGACGAGGGCGGCCCAGGCCATGTCGTCCGCACCTTCCAGCGCCCCGCCGATGTCGCCAACGCGAGCCCGCGGTCGCTCGCGACCGGCCTTTCCAATGATTTCCGATTAGTGGCACAGGGGCGGGGGGGGGGGCGATGGCGTAAAGAGAACCAGAAAACGCACGCCCCTGGAGGATGCCGCTGCGGACCAAATACAGGTGGACTCTGAGCCCAGAGAGATCGCGACCCCCTCAGTGGGCTGGTAGGGGAACCCCACGAACGAGAGGAACGCATCAGGCAAGCGCAGGATTCCCAGGACAATCAGCAAGAAATCTGGGTTCAACGACGGAAGGCCTGGCCGTGATCCAGACTATAGAGTATGGGCACAGCAGATGACCTGTGAGGTGTGCGCGATAGCTGCCGGCTCGAGACATCGAGCTCCATGCTATAGCGGCCGAAATTGCGCTGGGGAGCGAGGCCGCGCTGTCATGGGGGTGCGACTGTTTCGAGGGCAGGGCGGGTGGTTGCGTTTATCGTGGCGGGCCGTATTTTCACATCAGAGTTGCGCAGACCAAGCGCGCGAATTGTGTCAGCAGAGCGTTCAACCTGGCCAGCCTGCATTCCATCATCACCAACGTTCTCGGGGAGGAACGCCTGAGGACTGAGGCTCGCAGAATCGAAGAGGGCCTGGCTGCCCATGATCCACCCGAGACACTCCCAAGGAATAGAGGCCCCCGAAGGGGTCAGCGCGCCAGGCCGAGTGGGACAGCCAGTCGCATCCCGTCGCAGAGTCTTTGTCTCTGGCCCTCGCGAAGACCTTCCGCGTCAGCTTGGGGGTCGGCGGAGGTAGGATCAAGTCGTCGACGTCGGGGAGATGCTGTGCCGCGTGCGTTTTGACGAGCTCCGAATCCCAGGACGTCGTGTGAAACGCAAGGCCCCAGTAGCGCTTCGAGAGGTTAATCCTATCCGACGGGTCGAACGCGGCCTGGCCATGCCTGGTCTTCAGCCACCGCCGTCAGGCACGCGCTGGGAATGGGGGGTGGGGGTGGGGGTGGGTGGGGGGGGGGGCGACCGAGCGCGCTTCTCAAGAGCCCTTGCTTGGATCCTCAGACTTCCACTTTCGCCCTCGCTTTCGAGACGCCCTGGAGCTCAGCGCGGGCGCGTTCCGCAGCCTCGCGCTGGGGGCGATCCGACCGCGGTGGATGAGCAAGACCTTCGAACCGACGACCTGGATAGAGTCGGAGGCGATGGGGCGGGGCTCGACCAATCTCCGCGCCAGAGGCGCATCTTGGCGCCAAATCGCACGAGCGAGCTGCGGCAAGGAATGATGGTGCGGACGATGGTGGAATGCCAGATCACAAGCGTCCCCAGCAACTTCTCCCATGAGATATTTGCAAGGCTCAAGTCGAAACAGTAGGGGCATGCCGTCCCAGTCTGCGCGCGCAAGCATCGCCTGGAGCCGCTCCTGATAGTTCGGTTCACGGGGCAGATGCTTGGCGAGGGGTCATTCTTCTGGGGGGCGAGCGGGGCGAGGGGTGATAGTGCAGGGCGCCGCTGCGTGATCAGAGATAGGCCGATCCGACACCTGCGCAGGAGAGTCAACCGTGGCGGCCTGGGGGTGATGCTGACGTACTTGCCAACCAGGGGGAGACGCAAACATGCGGTCGATAAGAAAATCCGAGCTGGTCTTTTTTCTCATAGCGTGAGGGCATGTCGCGATCGATCTCGATCATGTGTGACAGGGCGCGGCGCTCGCGCGGGGCCTGCGCGCGGTGCCGCCTCGCGGCGCGACGCGCCACCGCCATCGGCATGTGGTGCAGCGCCGCCTCCTCCGCCGCGGAATCGAAGCACCCGGCCTCTATGGCGAGCCTCTGGGACGGAGCTCGAGCGGCAGCTGTCTTGGCGGCGACGAGCGCCCGCGCGACCTCGCTCACCTCTGCTCTAGTGAGCCCATGGTTGTGTACACTGAAGATGTCAAGGCGCGCCTCATCACATCTCGCGATAACATTCGAAACGCGCGCAGGTACAAGAACCACCGCAAGCCTCCACGCGCGTTCTCCAATCACCTGGCGTAATTCAGGAAGATGACTAGCCGCGCCGCCACGTGTGCAATCATCAGGCGACCCACCGCGCAACGACGAATGTATCATCGCGCGAGAAGCCGAGGGCTGTGAATCTGCGCGTGCCTGCAGCTCATCCTGACGAGCTCCTTGCAAGCGCGCGATTGGGGAGGCTGGCTGCAGCCTCGTCAAGTACTCGAATTTCGCCGACCCATGATTCTCAGCATGTTGTGGGAGGGCCCTAGCATTCCAAGTCGCTGCGCGCAGTGAAGGGGCCGGGGCCTGCGGCGAAGGTGTCGAGCATCTGAGCAACTTCCACACGTCTAAGACACCGCGCGGGCTCGGACTCAGGAGCAACCAATGGGGCCAGCACGTCGACGAAGTCTTGCTTGACAAGGTGGTGCTTCTCGAGCTTCTGCATGTCCCGGAAGGGCTCGGCTGGGGCATCGGGGTGCACCTGGGTGCGCATGATGCGGCCCCAGCCCGCTGCCAAGGTCGTTTTCTCGCGGTCAGAGAACGGCCGAAATGCGGGATGAGCTTCGGAGACAAGGGCGCGTGCCCTCCGCAGAAGGATCTCGCTGCGAATCTGCCGCGGTGATTTGTCAGGCCCAAGATGCACGCGACACTTCTCCGCCCCGGGGACATCGACCGGGAACTCTTTCCACGCGCTATTGGAGCGCAGCGGCGACGAGACTTGGGCGACCATCCGAGAGGCAGGGGCGACCAGCCCCTTGAACTTGAACTTGATACGGAACTTCTGAGTGGGCCCCTGACCGACCGCTTCGACGGGGAACGCGTCGGCGGCAAGCCCGATGGGGGGCGATCCGCGGCGCGAGCGCCGCGGAGACGGAGCTGGAGGCGGTCGGGCGCTGGGCGAGAGCAACAACAATGGTGGCGTCGATGTCCCGATCGAAGCCTTTGTCCTGGAGCGCTGGTGCCCCCGGGAGAGTCTCCGCCGAGCATGCGTCCCCGTGAGAAGAGTTTCTAACGCAAGTGGCGCAGGGGTCGACTCCGAAACGATGTTGAATCAGACCAGGCGGGGCCCGTCGCATCAAATGACATCCGCCTGTCAATGTTGCGGAAGAACGTCTCGTCTGCATTGCGCGGTGCGTGTTAGCCATCCGACTGTGGGAACGATGCAGCAAGGCAGAGCGTGGAACCGTCCGTGCCAGCGGCCCCGTGAATCATTGATTTGGAAGAGCATCCGGGCAGTGAGTGGCATCCGCCTCCCAGCGTTGCCGCCGGGCGCGCAAGCCAAAACGTGGCGTGTCAATGGCCTGGCCCATGGTGCGCGCCTGCGCGCGTTGCCGCTTGCTGATCCCTCTTCGACGTTGCCGCTCCCGGATCATTCAAGATGGGCGTCTTGTTGATTTTGTTATAACTTGTTTCCCGGCTGTGTAAGGTCTTCCTAAACTCAAGAATATGTTCCCGCATGGCAGCCGTCTCCTCTTCCATCCTAGAGACGCGCGTGCAAGTGCTCTGGATCTGCTTCTAATGGCCGTTATGCTGGGACTGCAGACGCCGAGATGATGCATCCACCTGGGGCCGCGCCGTCGCGAAGATCGGCTGGTCGAGCTGCGCAGGTCGCTGAGCCAGCTGCGCGCGCAGTTGGTCGACAAGGGCGAGGATGGAATTGTTCGACTCGGACAGGTTGGTGGTGATCGTCGTCGCGAAGGGCTCCCCGAGGTCCCCGGACAGCTCCTCCCGTATCTGGTCGAGCATGGGGTGAAAGACACCTTCGCGGCGCTGCTTGATGAAGGCCTCGGGCGCGTCATCCGCGTCGCTGGGGTCAGGTGGGAGGTCCTCTCTGTCGGGTGCGCCGGCGGGGGGGGGGGCCCGGCGCTTCGGGGCCGGAGGGGCAGGGGCGCGAGGCCGAGGAGGAGCGGCGCCTTTGCCTGGGCGGGCGGCGCCCTTGGGCGCCGCGGCGACGTCCATGGCCTCTTGCGAGGGGAAGGTGGCGGCCTCGTCATGATCGCCGTTGAACTTGGCGATGGCCTCATCGTTGGGCAAGCCCATCTGCGCAGCCCCAATAGTGGGCGGAAGGCGCGGCGGGTGGCGCGCCGAACGCGAAAGCGGTGTCAGCAGGGCGGGCCTTTGGCGACCCAAGAGGCTGAAACGTGTGGTGCAAAACTGAATGGCAGGAGGCCTTGACCCAGTCCTCGCGGCAGCGGCAAAGCTCAAGCCGCCGAGGGCCCGCGGTTTGAACTTGAGCCGCAATGGCTACGGATGAGGAGGGGGAGGAGGAGGAGGAGGAGGAGGAGGAGGAGGAGGAGGAGGAGGAGGTGTTAGTTTCAGAATGATTGCTGGGGAATCTAGCATGTTTCAGAGAGCAGAATGGAGAACTCAAGAAGTGCAGGGACCGCGGGCGCTGGGGCTCAAGCTTGAAAAGTCGAGTTTGGTAGCGGAGCCTGGTGATCCAGGCTCCACTCGCTATCCGCCTCTCCAGCGAGAGGCCGCGCGCGCGCGATAGCGAGGTGGCGCGCCCGCCAGACTGGCGGCAACGGCAACGATTACGACAAGTATCACGAGAGCAATCTCACGACCGGCGACTTCGTCGCCGACGGCGAGTACCTCGCCGAGCTCTACGACGACCCCGAGTTCTACGAGCACAAGCTCAGTATATGGCGGAGCACACCGGCCTCCCACTGGACGCGTACACGAAGGGCACTCCACCCGGATGGAGGCCGGCTCTCATGCATTACCCTTTTAGACGCTATTTGGAACGATTACGACTGTGGTATCGCATGACGGACCTGAATGCAGATCAGGTTGGGCCCGCTGTCGCGGGCAGGCTGCAGGGGCGACCTTATAATATGGCGCTCGGTCTACAGGTCACGACACAGGCCGGGCAGATTCTTCAAGGCGATGCCGCTCTCGCCTACGCCGGAGAACCACAGCAGCTTGACGGTGCCGGCCAGGTTGCTCGAGCAGCTACCGAGAGCGGCGTCCAGCTTCTCATTCGGATCCTCTCCAGAAGATATGGCGCCGACAACCAGCAGATGGCCACGAGCACCATCGACCAGTTCTATGATCTCAGGCGTGGCAGGCTTTCGCTTCTCGAATACATGGCGGAGTTCGAACGCACCTACGAAGAAGCCACCCGTCTGGGCAACCTCAATCTCAACGACGTCGCCCTCAGCCACCAGCTCCTCAAACACAGCGGCATAGAGAAGTCAAAGTTAGATCACATACTATTGCTCGTGAACGGCGACCTCGACAGGCACGACGATATCAAGGATCACCTCATGCGTCTCGCTAAAAGTCAGACACCCGCACAGATTCCAGGCATCGGTGGCTACCACGCAGACGCCAATGATCGTTATGAAGACTCATGGTATGATGACGGTTGGTACGACGACGGCTGGCAAGATGATTCTTGGTACGAAGACCCCTGGAACGAAGGCACATGGTATGGAGACACGTGGTACGACGACAGCTGGCAAGACGATTCCTGGTATGACGACAACTGGGATGAGGATCTGCAGGGCGACTCCACTATCGCTGGCAGCACAGCTCAGCCACCTTCCTCATCTCAGCCTGCAGCGTCGACACTCGACCTCGAAACTCTCCCCCCGGACGTGCACTTCGGCAAGAACCGCAGCAAGGGCAAATCTCGTGGTCGCGGCAAAGGCAAGTCACAGAGCAAAGGTAAGAAAGGCAAAAGCAGTGGCGGAGGACGTTCCAACCGCACAGGCTGTGGCCGTTGTGGAAGCCCCAATCATGACACGACGGACTGTCCTTGGAGCCAGGGCCGCAGCGGCGACAGCAAAGGCAAGTCCAGCAGTAAGAGCAAGGGCAAGAAGGGTCGCTCCTTTTCCCGAGGTGGCAAGAAGGGGCGCCGAAGCGGCAAGGGCTACTACGTCGAGGACGACCCCTGGAGTTACGGAGCAGATCCCTGGACCTCAGGACTTGTCGGAGGAACCCAACGAGCAGGCATTTTGGTCTCAGGCGCATCCAGCGGTCAAGGCTCGTTTGAATACATCACTACGGTTCCTCAATCTCAAGCATCCGCAGCACGAGATCCACCACCAGCACCTACAGCTGAACAGTCCTTCGCGGCCGAGGTAGACGACCTCCTGAGAGATCTGCACCCGATATGGCAACCTGGTGACGGCTTCTCTGATATAGGCACGATCGACACGAATGGAGTCACAGCAGCCTCGTCAGTATCAGGTCATTTCACTCCTGCCACAGGTTTGCTGGACATCGAAGCAGTAGTTCAAAACATGGGTTCTGAGCAAGCCACTCCAGAACCCAGATCCAGAGCCTCCGGCTCCAGCAGGACCAGCCCACAGCTCATGGGCACCAAGAAGGACGAGGACTTGCAGAAGACGATCGACGCCTTCAGTTCGCCCACTGTTTCAGCATCAGGAGATCATCCACCTCAGAAGTCACCTCTGCCTCCTCTTTTCTCGGCAGATCTTGGATATTCTCCCTGGGCCTCAACGCGGCCACAGGGGCAGCCACAACAGCAGCCACGACCTCGATGGCCTCAACCAGCACGACAAGGAGCTGACCTGACCGATCTCGGCGATCTCGAGAGGAACTTACGATCGCACGACGAGAGCGGCGGCGAGCTCTCCACCCTCACGGCCGTCGAGAGTCGCGAGCAGGTCATCCCTGATGAGGAGCATGCTGTTCGAGAAGACGACGAAGAGGCATACGACTTCGGCGACTACGAGGAGGACAAGCACCACGTCACGAATACCAAGCCCTCCTCATCTACGTTCCCATGCACTGCCTCCGGCTCCTTCAACCAAGGGACGAGCTTCAATTTCCATACAGTCAAGGGCCGAGAGGTCTGGGGCATGATCTTCGACCCCGGTGCTGCTGAGGAGCTTGCCGGCACACAGACACTTCTGGAATACGCTCAAGAAGTGTGCTGGCCAAACGGTTTAGATTTTACGGCAATACCACCTACGGGCAACACCACCTTCTCTGGCATTGATGGAGTTCCGATGAGGAGCGAGATGGCAGCTCGTGTACCTATCGACCTCGGCCCCATCATCACGAATATCGAGACAGCTACGATCGGCGGCAGTGGCGATAGATGTCCTTTCCTCTTCTCCAACAAGACGGCGGTCAGGCGCAAGGTGACAGCCATGTTCGGATATTTCGACAACAACGACGGCCTGCTTATCATACCAGATCTTGATGGCCGCACTTATGGCTTACGCATGCTGCTGACAGACTCTGGGCACTACCTCATTCCAATCGACTACGGGTTCAAGAACAAGGAGCAGACACGACAGACCTTTATCGAGCAAGCGTCGGTTGGCTTGGTGGCATCCCGAGCAGCCCTCTCGGCAGTCGGCAGCCCTCAGTCGAACACTACTGGCACCTTATTCATGACAAGCAGTTACGACCTTCGCGCAGATGTTGGGGTACCAGTGTTAGTTTCAGATAAGCATAAATCAGATATCGAACCACCACCTGGACTCGCACCTCATGATCTCAAGGGTACTGCTCGCATTCAAGAGGAAGTGGAATTTCACGAGTACAACGATGACGACGAGGACTTTCTGCCTGAGAAGAAGATCTTCGATGTGGACCAATGCGAGATATGCGGGCACATTGAGAACAATCTGACGATCATGCCTTGCGTTCGCTGTCGCATTCCAGTCTGCCCACGCTGCCGCAGCGATCATGGGTGTCGCAGCTGTGAACCCCTTCAGGCACCAGCTTCGACGCAACCAGAGCTTCAGGACATGACCGAGGACACCGACATCTTCCAGAGCTACACGCCCTCGAACATCACAGATAAGTTCATCAAGTCCCTGAAGGTTGACGGCGGCATGCTGCGCGACTGGAGCGACCTGTACTACACGCGCGACCACATCCCTCCAGACTGCCACGATTCAACCCGTCTCAAGAAGATCTACGCAGCAGTCAAGGAGGAGTTTTACACCCGGACTCACTACAACATCGTGACCCCTGATAACTTCTGGGAGTTTGTTTACGTCCACAAGCGCTGGATGAAGCTGACCGGCAGGCGCATCATGTGGGACTTCCAGGAACAGTGGTCAGGCAGCTCACGCACATCCAGATTGGCCACCAGGCGTTTGCACGTCGGCTTCCCCGTCGACTACCGCTACGGCTGGGACCTGAACAAGGCATCTCACCGGACCATGCTGGACTACGCAGACGAGCTCTTCTGTACCAGGAGCAAGCTCTCGTCTCCAGACTGCCGCTGCTGGACCCGTACTTCGAACACGATGAATCCTGACAAGAAGCAGGCAATGCGACGGGAGCAGCGACCCACTCTTCTTTGGTTGCGTGGTCAGTGTGAGAAGTTGGAACATCATGGGGGCTTCTTCATTGTCGAGAACCCACACAGCAGTGACATCTGGAAGGAGTCCCCGCTCGCCAACATGAAGTACAACAAGCGCTGTGGTTGTCAGTGTGGTTTCGGGAGTGTTCTACCCAGCACTAACGAGCCGATCAAGAAGCCCACTGGCTGGCTCAGCAACTTCAAGTTACGACGTACACTACGACCTTGCAACTGCCCTCCTGGCTCTCATGGCACTCTGCAGTTCAAGGATCCGAACACCGGTTTATGGAATACATCGCTGGCCATGGTCTACCCTCACAGGCTCTGCACCGCCCTCCTGAACGACATCATCAAGGAGATGCCCTCAGTACTGGCAGCACACTCTGTGATGCATTGGGCTTGCAAGCGGTGTCAGTGGGGTAGCAAGTTTGACGGAGCACATACGCACGGCCCAGGCTGCCGCTTTGACAAGACCAAGCACTGGCCCGCTCCCAAGACTGCCGCTGATGAGTCCCCGAAGTCTGACGAAATTGTTTCCAAGCAGAAGAACTTCGGGCCCTCCAACGGCAGGAAGAGGTTCACCACCAAGACACCTCCTCCTGGCGGCGGCGGACCTCCTGGTGACGACGATGGCCCAGGCGATGATGACCACGACCCAGGAGACGACGACTTACCGTCTCCTCACATCTGTACCTGTCCAGAGGGTGATGAGTGGGACGACATCGACCGCAAGGCCTACACCAAG